TGCGACCAAGCTCCCCCTTGTCTCTTGTGCTATTTATTTCTCTTGGTCTTGAGCTTCTCGAATTGCCTTCCAAGAACTTCTCTCCTAGGATTCGGGGAAGAATCCTGTAAAAAAAAGGGAGGATTGTAACAACCCGACCTCCTAATGTTGGTTGTTACTAACTCCTAATCCGATTTAATTTAATTAACCTATTTCCTTTTTAATTAATCTTTTCTAATCTCTTTTTAATTCCTGTGAAGCCCATTAGTCAAGACCTACTAAACTAAACCCTAGCTATAAATACATTCTCTAATCCCTTTCTTATTTTTTTAGCAAAGACTAAACTCTAGCCTCTCTCTTTTTCCTCTCTTTTTCGTCACCTTCTTCTTCCTATCAGCCGCCGACTTCCATGATGATTTCACGACGAATCGTGAGGAGCCACGCGACAATCTACCCATCAAATTGGAGCCCTGAGTGTCAGATTTTGAATAAGACCAAGTTTGCCTCGATCAGAGGTCTGTGCCTGTAGTTATCACTGTTTTCGTGCCATGTGTCAGATCTGCCCAAAAAGGAGGAAAAAGTGTATCTTCTTCCATAAAGTCATATGTGAGGACTTCTAGCTTCACCCTCTCTTTCATATGCATAGTTATTTTTGATTAGTCGTTTCTTAAACCAAAGCTTAGATCTGATTGTTAGGGTTGCTAGAATTGATTAGGACCTGGATCCATGTTGCCTGATTTGTTTTTGATTTGGTTGATGGTGGAATGTTGGTGGGCTTGCGGGCGTAGGGTTGTTTTTTTAACAAGCCCGTTGGTCCTCCTTAAGGTTTAAATTTATAAAACCCTAGTGTCTGCAAGTGCACAGATGTACGTTGTAGGACTTAGGGTGTCGATCCACAAGGAGGATGTCTAATCTGTAAGAAACAACAAACTGGGAAGTATGCAAACTCATAAACAAATAAAAGATTTGGGGTTTTTGGTTAAGATCTTAAACTAAACCTAATCTAGTATTCACAAGAGATGCAATGCAGGATGAATAGTTAAAAGAACATCTAAAGCATATCGACTCAAACTAAAGACTCTTAAACTCATAGGTGGCGATTTAGACTTCTCTGGTTTACTCTAATCGATGCATGGTGGCATTTCCAATTAACTTCTGGGCGATTTATCTTCATCTGTTTCTAGGAATCTGCATTGAACTAGAATAGACACATGTATGATTAACCAATTGTCGTCACCTTAATCAACTAATCTCTTAGATCTAGCAATTAACTCTCGCTCTCATGCTAAACTTAAGATCATGCATTGGACACTGAATTCGTCTGCTCACATCTTCTCTATAGGTAGCTTTCGACTCCTATAGCGACTATGTTCTTCTAAAGCTAGGTATGGATGATCTCATACAGCACTCTCGTGGCTCTGATCAATCCAGGCTCAGAGAATAGGTCAAGAGTCTACTCTCATGATTTACGAATGACTTAGAACAGATGAGATCCAGAATATGGCTAAGAACAATAGAAATCCTAATCGATATATATGCTTATCGATATCTTCAAACAACTTGACTCTCTGGGACTAATCTACGTGATGCAATGAATGATGAAAGACATAGAAGAATGCAAAAGAATGAAACAGAAGAGTTGATAAGATAAAAAGGAGGAAGAACAATGGATCTGGGGAAGAATACCCATCTCCATCGCCTAACCCTAGAAAAATAAAGTTTGGTGGCTCAAAATCTCATTACAGGAGCACACACCCGTTTAGGGCTGCTAAACAATGTATTTATAGGTCCTAATGTCTTCCAGGTCTCATTTAGGGCTTCTCTGAAGAGGAATGGCGAAGTGGACTTTGATGTTGGGCCTTGTGGCTCATCCTAAGGTCAACCGGGGGTGAGAGTCTTCCAGGGCAGGTAAAACATGTGTTTCCCGCGGGTGAGAGTCTTCCGGGACTGGTGAACCGGGTCAACTTGTTCTCCATGTATCTTTTGATTGCACCGTTCGTCCTTTGTGATGTAAAGTGCTATGGAAAGCTGGTTGTATCCTCTTGAATTGTCTCCAAATTTGAGCAGGATCGGACGGTGAGAAAGTCTTCATTTGAGGCTGAACTTCTGACGGTCTGACTCTGAGCTAAAAATGTGGATTTCTTCCATTTTTCCATCATATTCCCTAAGTTTCCTGAAAAGAGCCTTGAAACTACAAATACATGGAAATCATAATAAAAGTTCCTAAAATAAATTAAAACCTTTGAAATAGCATTTAAAATCAATGGTGATAAGTGGTCAAAATCAGGTGTTATCAAATGTAATACAAGAAATCTGAATATGGATCTGGACTTATGAAACCCTAAAATATGGTTTGTGTGATGTTAACCTGTTTAATGTCCTTTTTTGTTACAAATTGGTATCAACGAATGTGCATCTTAATAATGAAATGACCTTTTAAATAAAAGAATGAATTGATTGTTTGGGTGGATAATGTGTGGATAGTAGAACTTGTTAGGTCCCTAGCTCCTGGAATTTGGGGGTTAGTGTTGTTTGTTGGCTGGGCTGATGTCTGTGTTACAATACAGCAGTCATTATTGGGAGTGGATAGAGCGATTCACCAAGTGTTTAAATAGCCTGTCTGTGTGACCGGTGGGACAGTCTGTGTGACTAGGTGGAATGGGCCAGTGGTAGGGTAGTCATTAGTCCGGAGTATTCTGGTTTTGCCTCTCCAGGATGTAATGGGGATCCGAGGGACTGCACACTAGATTTTTGACCAGGGCCCGCTGTTTGGTAGTTGTATGCTAGTGTTACTCTTGCTTGTTTTGTGATTGATTGTTGGAAACAACTTGAAATGTTTTATTATAATATTTTATAATGCTTGGGCTGGTTTTAGGATTAAAATTTGTAAATATAATTCATGTTAGTCTGATGGTGTTGTGGGTCTCCTTAAAGTCCATCCTTGCTGAGTAATCCCCATTACTCACCCCTCCTTTTCCCTTGTTTTATTTTCAGGTATAGTTAGATAGGGATGTTACAGTAAGAGTCCTTAATCTCTTAAGTTTTCTGAGCCCAAAGGATGATGATGATAGTTTTTGAGATCGATACTGAAGAAATTTGTGGACATTGATCGGTATTATCTTGATGGAGCTGCCTCAGATTCACCGTCGAGAAGGCATCGTGAGGAGATCGTTAAAGGTGAAGATAGTGTGGGAGATGGGCTTCAATATTTACATATACTTGCGCCAAAATCTGGGCCCGATATCTAATAACATTGCACGGGCCATAAACCTAATTAAGCCCAATAGAAAAGAGAATCTGATTTCCAATGACAGCTTGGTTTGTTGCAGGAATGGCGTTGATGGCGGAGCTCCGGAAATCTCGAATCGGTGACGGATTGCTGACCATGATCGTGGTCGTGATAAGATATGAGAACGGAGATGGCGTTGAGCTCTCCCCTTATTAAGGCACGGTAAAAAGTGCGATTCTGATTCATAGTCTCGGCGAGTCATTTGTTGTAGGCTTCTCTGGATTGTGAGTGTTCTAAAATAAATAAATACAAAGAGACGACCAAAAATTAAAAATAAAAGGCTGAGGTTGAGGTTGCAAGTCAATGGTGTTGAGGTTGACGTCGGAGAAGATGGGTGAACAAGGGTGTAACGCGGGGACGACGGCAAATGATGGGCTTCATAGTGCCTCCTAGCCCCTACTCCCCCTCTCTCTTTTTTGTTTTTTTTGAAATAAACGAGCTTGGCCGCCATGATTCCATGTTCTTGGTGGATTGTAAGTCTTTTTTGTTTGGATCCTCTTCTTCTTTTTTTTTTTTTGTTGAAATTTTCTGTCTTTCTGTTTGCCTTTTGTTTTGGGCTTCTCTTTTTGATCACAGAAAATAGTCTCATGTTGTTTTGTCGCAATTTACTTTAAGATGAAGTCATGAAGTTGAGGAGATGTGTTTATGGCTTGGAGTTCGGATAGCAACATGATGTGGAGATCAGAGATCGATGTAATGCAGAGCTCGGAGAACGTCGTGAGGTGGACAATAATTCACTAGGATTGTGCTTGAATCTCTTTTGCTTAGAACCTTGGCGGAGGTTTAGTTTGGTCGTGAGAAGCTTGAGGGAGCGCATAATCTTTATTAGCTAAAGAGTTTGACGTAAAGCACAAAAAACCGAATTGCTTTATATGATGGAGACGGTCTTGGTTGTGTTGTAAAAGAGTTGTGTCGGTCGTCGGAGATCATGGCAGGTAGAGACAACGGAAGAGATCGGAGACATACTGCCATCATTCCATTTTTCGGTTTTGAAAAGTTTCGTTCCACACAGACGGCGCCAATTATTAATACCGAGTATCACACAAAGGATTTAGGAGATTTTATTGATTTTATAGCTGAACTGAATGTGATCTGGCTATGTACCTTTGAAAGAGTGATCAAGCCATTCGTAGTTCATATTATAAAGAGAATAAGAAGAAAATCTGTTCTTTAGTCTTCTATAGAGTTGTGAATCCCATTTGAATGAATGAAGTACTCTCTATTTATAAAGGTTGAAGTCGGTTGATTTTCAATTTCCTTCTTGACTTGATAATGAGATTTTCTTATTTCCCGGAGTAGATAAGAATAACTTCTTTTTTTTCTTGGAGAATTATCTTTTGAGAATATTTCCTTTTTCGAAATAAAATTTAGGAAATATTCTGCGAAGTCCCGATGTAAAAGCCGACACTGTACCGGGGTATGAACCATCATAAATAAGGATCAATTGGACTGATCGCGGTTCATACCGGGCTATACCGGGGGTGCAGAGTAGTACACCAACACATACTACCAATTCTCTCATGAAGTGTGGCCTTGGAGACGGCTTGAGCATCGATAAACTGCTAGATTATGGCTTCGAGCTGCTCCAAACGGTTACTGATCTGCATGTTCTCATCCTGCTGAAGGATTTAGTGAGGTAGGCGATGAACATATGGTCTAAGATTGACCATAGGAGGCGCGTAGAGATCGTCTCGATACATAGTAGGCTTGTGGCGTCCGTACAGTTGATGGTTCAGATTAGGGTTCCGAACAAAGTTGAGATATCGCGCATATACTGGTTTTCTCTGCGTCTGTTGGCTTGAGGAGTGTTGTAGAAACCTTCCTCATAGTAGGGACTTTGGTTCATGGGATCCATTGCTTCAAAAACCTGAAAAAGAGAACCAAAAACGAAAATAAGTAGAAAAAATGTTATAAAGTTGATTTACTAACATTTTTTAGGGTTTTGCGGAAAATGAAACAGGTGCCTTCCCTGGAAACGGCACCAAAAATTTGATGTGTCGCGGTAGGGATGTCAAGTTTTACCCTAATAGAATCAATAAGCCGCAAGGGCACAGCTGATCGATTGTAGTACTTAGGGATCGAATCCACAGGGAAGGAGGATCTTTTCCTGTAGAAGTGATGCTAAGAAAATCAAGGGTTACTTCTACCTTCACGTTTTAAATTTATAACCCTAAATATCTGCAAGTGCACAGATGTGCGTTGTAGTACTTAAGGGTCGAACTATAGAGATTTTGAGCTTTCAGTACAAATCGATCAAGAACTTATTGGTAATAGAACATACACAATGGGGGGTTTCGGTTTTGGTGTCACTAATCTAAACGGAAAACAAAGTAAAACGGTTTTAAAACAATAGGAACTAAGTGTTGGGTCAAAGGGTTTTCGCAGGGGTTCATGAACTGATCCAATGACAAACAGATAGATAAAGCTAATCAACTAGTGAGGATCCCGAACACGAATAGGTGCATGTATGATTAGCCAACTCTCGTCACCCTAATCAGCTAATCATTCAACTCGGCAATTAACTCTCACTCTCATGTCGTAATTAAGTTCATGCACTAACAACAGAATTCATCCATGCTCACGATTCTCTATAGGTAGCTTTCGTCTCCTATAGTGAATTCGCTTGTATAACTTCAGGTCAGATGATCGATACAATACTCTCGCGGCTACAATTACCTAAGATAAGTTTCAAACGGGCTAACAATAGAAATAGCACAAAGAACAAGAATGAGCGAAGGAATCCTAGAAGATTATAAACCCTAAATCTAATAATTCACAAGATCAAGACATGAAACTCTCTTTAAAAAATCCCTTAAAAACCCAACTGGGAGATTACTCAGACATAGTTGAGTTTAACATCACATAAGCATTTAGAATTGCAGAGAATTGAAATAAACAAAAGTAAGAAACGAAGAACATAGTGAAGAAAGAGGGCCGATGATGCCCCGATCGGTGGCTCCTCTTCATGGGTGACGGATCTCTCTCGAAATCTTGACAAAACGCGACACACACATTCTAAATGACTTATAAGTGGAATATATAGTGTCTTGAGTCTTTGGGAACATCTACGGTTTGCAGGAATAAGGAAGAGAATGACCTGGGCTTTAAAATGGGCTTCTGAGGCTCGGAAATAGGCTCCCGCGGTCTATAATGTTGCACCCGCGGTGGATGATGCTCTGGCCGTGGGTCAGCTTCCGACTGTGTTGATTCGCCTTCAGTGCATTGATCTCCTTTCTTCAGGTTCTCCTCATAACTCCCCCAGACTTAGATTTTTCTCCATGTTGTGAAACCGTAACTCCATAGATGAATATTTGTGGCCTTTGCTCAAGTAATTTTGGCTTCTAAGATTCTTTATGCTTTTTGTTTCCTTTTCATTTTTTTTAAAGGGGAAACCGCCTTTTGACATAGAGTTTTAGGGAGTACGAAATTTACCTTTAAGAATGAGCTTTCTGCAGCATCACTTAGCTTGATAAGATTACTGATATGTTCATAATTTGCATCATTTAGGTTGTATATTTCATTCCAAATCATATCTTATTCCATGCATTTTAAGTCTTTAGTGTTTGTTTTAGGACCTAGGAGATGCATTAGGTCCCAATGAGTCTTTGCATGTTTTGAGTGTTTATCAGGTGTATTTGGAGCTATTTGGAGTTGAAAAGATGAATCCAGGAAGAGAAATGGTGATCAAGGCTTGAAATGGTGAAAATGGGTTTTGGAGGTTCTCCGCCATTCTCGCGTACCGCAGGAAGGTTTTTCTCGGCCATTCGTGGATTCCTCGGCCAAAACGCGTACGGGCTAGTTAAGTTTCTCGGCCAAAATTTCCGGGTGCAGACACATTTCCGAAATCGCCTGTCCGGGGAACCTTCCAGTCCGATTCAGCTGTCGGGTGCTTCATCAAAGTTGGAGAAGATTGGATCATGGTTCCAGAGCAGGTGGAATCATAGGATTTGGAGGCGTGATCAGAGAGTTAGCCTCGTCGGAAGGAACCCCTGTCTCTCTGCCGTTTTGGATCGACCCGATGAGCTTCGAAGAATGCGAAGGACGGTGCACTTCCAGACCGATTCAGTTTACAGCGCCTTCATCAGAATCCGAGATATTTGAGTCCTCTTTCCAGAACGTCTGAGATCATTCAATTCGGAGCTATGAGCAAGAAGATAACGTTTCCGGAATGGACACATGTCTAGAAGCCTCTTTCTGATCGTGTCAATGCACTGCGAAGATGAGCCCTCCAGGAAACCTTCCACTTCCCAAGTACCGAAGGTTCCTTCACCAAAGTTGAAGATGTCTGAGTCTTCTATCCTCTGAAACTGGAATCATACCATTCGGACCAGTACCCTAGAAGTTATGCTTCCCTGAACGCGAAGTGGTCCGAGGAGCCTGAATGCTGCGAGATTGATAACCCTTATCAAAGCTTAAATTATGGTAAGGGAAAGATGACACGGTGGAATGCCACGGTCCACATCTGACCGTGGCACTTGATTGCAGTTCTTTGGGGTTTAACACGATCTTCATGCCACGGCCTACACTTGACCGTGGCAAGGTAACATTTGGCCGCGGAAGGATTTTAGTTACATTCGCGATTTGACACAACCACACACCACAGCTTTAGACTTGGCCGGGGCAACTTTGTGCAACCTCTCGGCATTTGACACGGTCTCCACGCCACGGCTTTAGACTTGGCCGTGGCAACCTTGTGCAATCTTTCGGAATTTGACACGGCCATGCATCACGACCAGAGGGAATCCGTGGCACCATGTTTCATCCAAGAACAAGAGACACAGGACTTGACACGGTCACTTGCCACGGTTTGACCAAAACCTGTTAGACCGTGGCAAACTTCTTCTTTACCCACCAAAGCCGGGTCAGTACCCAGTTTGTTCCGGGCTGACCCGGTTCGCCCAAGGCTTCTACAAATCTTTTTTAGACCTAATTTGGAGAGAACTTTATCCTATCTTTAATCTCCTTTTCCTTTTTGGTGAAAGAACCACTTGTTAATACCTTGCTTTTGAGTTTAATATCGATTTGAAGAGTGTTTTCCATCTTGTTCTATCATTTCTCATCATCAAATCACACTTCTAATCATGATTAACAACACATCTTGCAAAGGATCTAGTCTGTTGATCATGATTAGTGAGTAATCCCATATTAAGGTCTTAGATATGTAGATTAGGGTGCTTAAGTGGTAGATTAGTGAGCTTAGGGGTTAGATCATGCATATTCCATTCTCTACAACCTGTTCTTAATGCTAGATCCATACAAATCATATGTGGTCTAGATTCTGGACATTTCATGCACCAAAAGTGTTTGATGAAATGTCTGAACCAAGGTTGTTAGAGGTTTAAGTGTTATTCATCATGGGAATGATTGTCTATATGCTTAAATGACAGATTAAACTGATTCTTAATGCTTGTTAATCCATGTTTCACTAATGATGATTAGGTTAGAAACTGTTTTGGCATAGGAGTTGATGCCTTCATGAGAGGATTAACTTAAATAATGATGTTTAAGTTGAATGGTTTGCTTGATCATATGGTTCATTAGCTCACTAGTTTATCCCTGAAGGCACCCTAATCCACTATCATGTATAAGACCTTTCTCATCATCATACATACATTCTCATCACTTGTCATTTGCTTAGTTCTTTGTTTGATCATTTCTCAGTCATTAATCTTGTTTTAAGTTTATAGTTGTCATTAGTAAATCAAAACCACACTTGCTTGTTTGAATTGAGAAACTGATCACATAGCTTAGTGTCTATCACCACATTCTTGGATTGATAACCTCTTTGTGCTACATTGACAAGGGGATTGATAGCCCTGAGACCTAAAAAGTCTTATCTATCAATTGGCGCCGTTGCCAAATTGTGGAGTGTTTAGCATTAAGCTCTGATCTGTTATTGAGATCAAGTGCTTTCTTTTTTGTTTTTACTGTTTCCTTTCAAGTTCTGTTTGTGATTTCAGGTGCATGAACACCAGGTCTAGATCAAGAAGCTGTGGTCCACCTTTTCCTCTCAACGACAACATTAATCTTTTGGTACCAAGGAGGAGAAGGGACAGACGTGGAAGACAGATTGATCAGGCTGATATGGAAGACCAAAGAGAGCATGTGGTGGATATAGAACAACCGGTTCAGGAGCAACAGGCTCAGGATAATGGAGCTGGTAATGGAGTTGGTCAAGGGTTACATCAGGGTAATGTTCATCAGGAACAGGTGCATCAACAGCAAGCTTATGTCCACCAGGGACAAGCTCCAGCTCATCAACAGAGGCATCAGGCCAATGTACAGCAAAGACAACAGGTGCACCACCAACACCAGCCCTTCCAACACCAGCAAAGGAGATATGAGCAGCCATAGGTCTATGTTGGAGAGAATGACAGGGCAAATGCTCATCAGTATGGAGCTGGAATTCAGGCACCACCTGTGCAAAACAACAACTTTGAAGTGAAGGCATCCTTGTTGAATATGGTCCAGAACTCAAAGTTCCATGGATTAGCAATGGAAGACCCCTTGGAACACTTGGATCAATTTGATAAAGTGTGTGACCTGACAAAGATTAATGGAGTTTCTGAAGACAGTTTCAAGCTAAGATTATTACCCTTCAGTCTTGGCGACAAAGCTCACCAATGGGAGAAGAATCTTCTAAGAGGCTACATTCAAACCTGGGAGCAATGCAAGCAAGCCTTCCTATCTAAGTTCTTCTCCACCTCCAGAACTGCAAAACTAAGGAATCAAATCTCTAGCTTCACTCAGCACAGCAATGAGAGTTTTGGTGAAGCATATGAGAGATTCAGGAGCTACACAAACCAATGCCCACACCATGGGTTTAGTGAGGCCTCTCTTCTCAGCACACTTTATAGAGGAGCTCTT